AAAGAAAAATTAACACCCCCAAACCAATCAATAACTAATTGTGCATAAGGAGTGCAGGTGAAAACTACGTTCAAAGTTGACTTGATGTTTTCTGCTTTCACTCTAAAAATCAAAAAGTGTTTTGCGGATGGTTGGAGTGCCCCACTTCCACTGGTAGGTCATGTTTCTTTTCTTTACTCTCCCTCTGTTGTTTCTGTTTGCCACACCTGCTATTTCCTTGCACTAAATGACGGTTATCGTGTCAGTGTGCTTTTCTTTACTCAAATAAACAAACAAACAAAAAGACAAACAAACAAACACATTACAAACAAGCAAACTTTATGTTGCAGTGCTAAATTGCAGGATGCTTTTGACCAACATCTAAAATCCTAGCAAGTGTGGGATTCACGTACACGTGGGTGTCTGTGGTGCATCAGTTTGCGGTCTTGGCCGGCCGTACAAAAGACGCGAGTTTGTTTCTCACATCTGGGAAAGATATATTGTAGTGTCTGACGGGACACCTCTGACAATATATTGTGTGTTTGGAAATAGTCTCGAACTCGTGTGGCCAGACCGTCTGTCCAGACCCAGTGTGTGTGTGTGTGTGTGTGTGTGTGTGTGTGTGTGTGTGTGTGTGTGTGTGTGTGTATCAAGTGACACACGTTTCATAATAGAAAGTGCGATGGGTCGTTGGCGGGTTCTGTGGTGTGGTTTTCCCTTCTTTCCCATCAACCATCTATCAATATCACCCGTATCGGTTTTTCATCTTTTTTTTTCATATGTTACCTTCTAGTTTGTTTTTTTTCTTTTGTTTTTTGTTTTTCGTTGTTTTTCGTTGTTGTTGTTGTTGTTGTTGTTGTTGTTGTTGTTGTTGTTGTTGTTGTCCAGGCGAAATGTAGCCTAGTTGTTATCGTTGATGAGGATGTTATACTATACGACTGAACTGGGCTCTTCGTTGGACTGAAACTGGCATACTTCTTTAAAGTATCATTTTTAGCAGACACATTCTTGTTACAGCCTTTTTAGCAACCTACATTATTATTTTGCAAAGTGGGTGGTTTGCTACTTCTTTCCTATCAAACATCTACCGTCCTTATCTCCCGTCCTTCTATTTTGTGTTTGGTACTCTCTTGTAACACCTCTAATCTTCGGCACTAAAATGAACGTACTGTGTTGCAAGTGCCGTAAAACGCTTACTAAAACTAAAAAATATTTTGCGACAGTGATGAACACAAAGAAGACAGACAAGCGACTCACGCGAACATGCCCAGCATCCCCGGTCGTGGAGAATGATATCCTTTATCCCCGGCAGGGCCACAGTTTGGCACAACCAGTCTTCTTATGACATCATGAGCTTTTTAGAAACTCTTTCTTGGCACAGTGTGAAAAAACAGTAATAGCAAATCCTTTATTTTGATAAACGCCGTATAATCGTATTGCCATAGACTGAAAGGGCCAGCCACGTAATAGGAGCACACGTTGGGCACTGGGTAGAAAACAGCGATCCAATTACGTCATAATAACACTTTTATGTTTTGTGTACACAAAAATATACATGACTTGCAACCCGCGCGTCGTACCTCATGTAGCCACTAAATGGAATGAGCGACAACAACACCGCTCACTCATTAGTACCACCGTGACGATTTGGTGCGCGAACAAAAGTGCGCGGTCGCGCGAGCTAGGCAGGCGAGTTTGTATGGTGGGGTGTAGACATGTATCCGACATATCGGTTCTGCGTGATCGAGTAAGGAGCTGAAAAAGTAGATTGGTCGATGTGGGTGGTTGGTGGATGCTCTGTTGTGGTTTTCTCCTTCTTTCCTTTCAGACATCTGTCGTCCTTATCTCTCCTCCTTTTTGTGTTTGTTACTCTCTTGCATCACCATCTTTGGCACCTACATGACCTCATTGTGTTGCAAGTGTCGTAAAACTCCTACTAAAATGAAAGAACTTGAATCACATATAATCTGTTTGGCATCCACTCAGAAAATGAAGCCAGAATAGCCGTGGAAATCAGACGATTCTGCTAAATCGGGTACGTGTCCACCCTATACAACAGCTGGGGAAGTGTTGTCAGTGATGACCCGATAGTGTTCTATCACCGCGCCAGTGCCTGGGGGCTCTGGCTGGACCCGGCGAAAAATAGTATTTAGGCGTGAGCAAATTGTTTCTATCGGGCATTTCTTCTTCATACGGTGATTCCATGTTGTGTTACGCGTGTTATGTTTATTTTTTAATATTTCGATGTCGCTCTAAATCTCTGCAGATTCATACATATGTATTAAGTCACTTTTTGCTCGAGTTCTGTAAAACATGTTTACTCATTACTTTAGGATAATATTACTTTTATTATGCATTTTCTTGGGCTTCATATAATAATTTATTTTTGGATGTATAATGTGTACTTTATATTTTTGTCTCTTTTGAGTTTTTCGTGCGAAGAAGTTCTGTGCTTACTGTATAACCTCCTTGGTTTGGACTGATGTATTGTTGGCCTTCTCATTATGTTTTTTTTTTTTTTTTTATACTACAAATAGATTATTAGAACTTTTATCGGCATCTTGTCAACTGTGAGTTTAGTTTATCGCAATGGGTTTGAGAGGATCTGTTGCGACCCCCTCCACCGCGACATACACACGCACGCACGCGCGCGCACACACACAAACACACACAAACTCACTCACGCACATACATTCACGCAAAAGCAGATTGGATAGTAATTCTTTGACACACCTACATATTTTATCAGCAAGAGATTCAGGCCTTCAAATGATGGAGCGGGTGGTTGGAGAGCGTCATGGGTAGGCCCTACTTGTTTACTTTCTCTCCGTTGCTATTGCCTCTTTTTATATCTTGCTCATTCACATTTTTTTTTCAAATAATTGAAAGCTCTCCATTAACTCAGTAAATATCAAGCTGAACTACGGAGCAGATGGTCGTGTTTCGAATCGCCATGATATTCTTGAACATGGTCTGTTTTGTGGAGTTCTTAAGTCTCTCCACCCTTTCAGAGATGGGCATTCAAGTCGGAGGTCCCGCCTCTTGAATAAGCTTACAATGTTGGAATGGGCCTTAACTCTATGCTTGAACCAAATTAAATGGTAGAATGATGCACTCGTGCCTCTGTTCTCATGGATGTTTTGTGCTTTTATTTTGTTTGAGTTATAGTAAGCGTTTTACGGCACTTGCAACACAAGTAGGTCATCCAAGTGCCGAAAATTAGTGGTGTTGCTTGAGCGTAATGTGTAAAGAAAAGGAGGAGACATGAGAAAGATAGCTGTTTGATGGGAAAGAAGGAGCAACCGCACCGGAGTACCCACCAACCAGCCAATGTTTGCTTTGTACATACCCCAGTGTTTTGAAAGGGGCGTAAAAGCTTGATTTGGGTTTGTCTTTCTCTTTTTCAGGAGCGGGACAGGTCGGGCGCGATGGCCGACGCGTGTGTGTGTTCTACAACCGGGCCAGGGGCTGCTATAGGGGGCAGAGGTGTCCCAACCTACACATTAGAGTGGATGAAGACGGTGAGCTGGGTTGTTGTTGTTGGGGTTTTTTTTTGGTTTTTTTGGGGGGGTGTTGTTGGTTTTTTTCTTTTCGTTGTTTTTGCTGTTGTTGTTGTTTTTTCCTCTCCGTCTCTTTCTTTACCCCATTCGGTCTTCCTCGTCGTCTGTCTATCTGTCTGTCTGTTGGTTGTCTGTCTGTCTGTCTGCCTTCCCACAATCAATGCTTTTCCCGTCACCAGAGAGAGAGAGAGAGAGAGAAGAGAGGGGGGGGGGGAGAA